CCTGCACGCGGGCTAGGTCCACAAGGGTTACATAGCTGGTCTAAACTCTCCGGGGTTTTGCAAGAAAGTTTGCCCGGTAATCGAAAGGCGATGCCTGCGGAGGAGCCTAGTAATATACCGGGTGGGGCAAAAAAAAGTACGACCGTTTGAATTGCTGCAAGCGCAAAACTAAAAGAGCAATGACACTAAAACAAGTTTAGTGGCATTCAGCGATATCCAACTTAAATTTTGATATATGCCATGCACATTTCGATGCCGTATTGACAAAGATACAAGCATTTAAACAGGAGTAAACATTCTTGGAACTGACGAAATTGGCTAAAAATGGCTTATTGAATATTAATATATACTGAAATTGTGTGGTTGCTGATCATGTGGCACATTCCACATTTTAAGTTTCAAATAGCCCCAAAGGAAAAAAATTGCATACAGTTAGATCAGGGGAGCGATGGCAAAGGCCAGTCGTCAGCCTTACTCATAACTCAGCCATAATTAGGGAATTGTTTTCGAAGGTATTGCATTGCTGGCATGAGAAGGAGCTTCATCTTGCTGCCACCACATGTCATCGATATTTTGAACACGAAAGTCTCTCTGTACAATATTGTAACGTATGATTCGGAGATACTCTCTCGTGTCAAAATTTTTTTCAATAAAGTGTGGTCCCAGAACAAGCCAGACCTCGTCAAACCAACCCACTAATTGAAACAATAATCGCGAGAAAATGGTAATGTTATTCAATTGGTTTTAATAGGGCCTTTTTAGCTAATTCTCGTCGGTTCCAAAAATGTTTGCTGACGTTTAAACACAGTTATATTGTAAAAATATGTCATAAAATATAAATTTTAAAATGAAATTGACTTGCCTATTTGATAATGTGTATTCTCCTTTTACTTCTCTTTTGTTGGGCTAATATTTTCCGAGACTTTGTACTCGATGGTATCAGTATACATGATAAAGACAAACTTTTTCCGATCCTCGATCCGACGGCACGGCACTTCGAATCAAAAATTCTCAAATCAAAAATTCTCAAATCGCTTTGTTCTTAGAACTAGAAGTTACTATCGCAAGGGAAGTGCTGCCTCACCACCAAAGTCCTGGGGATTGATTATACCAATAAACTTCATTTACTTAAATTAAATTGCCTTATACACACTGTATGTATGAATTTATTTTGTTTAAGAAATATCGAAATTACAACATGCAATAATTACTATATATACTATTAATAACGTGTACTTCGGATTTTCATATTTATATGTATGCTCGTTATTGTTGGTACCAATGTTTTAAACCATCTTCACTTGTCAAAACGTCTAGAAGAACACAATTAGGAATATACACGATATGTCTTTTAACGTGATATGACCAGTTTGTTGCAAGATTTGATATTCTTTCTTTCCAAGGTAATGATAATCCATACTGTATTTTCCGTTTGGTAAACAAATCTTATACTATTCGTTTTTTGTCCATTATATAAATATTTCGTATTTATTTAGCATGTACAGGTAGTATCCACTGTTGGCCATCATTGTTGTCTAATAACTTGTTAGGTTACTGTACATAAAAAGGTATGTAATATCTTGACATACAATGTTCCTGACATCCATATGGTAGATTGGAAACAAGTACAGCAAAATTCAGATTCCATCCCATTGCATTGCATTAGATGTAATATATCCATACAAACTTGTAAATCAGCATTCTTGTTTTAATAGAAATACATTTCTGTTAATCCAGAATGCGATTTAATATATCCATATTATATATTGACTTTAACAACCATTTGGTTTCATCCAGCAGTTAACATGGCACCATTCACATCCGTCATAATTGCAAAACTATAGAAAAAATAATTGCCAGCATGAGATATTTACTTAGAAACATGGTAGCACATAAATGAATGAAAATAAAAGTAGGGCAGGTGGAGCGGTTTAATTAACAAACAAAATACTTACCATTATTTCAACTTGCAAATCATAATATTTTCATACATACAGTGATAACAATGAGTAAATTAGTTATTATATAATAAATTAAATTATTTAAAAGGGTATATAGTCAAACTACATACCAAAATATAACTGGGACCCATATATGAAATCCCTCTCTTATTCAACCTCAATAGCTTGTTGTTCTAAATGCACTACTAGTAGCCTGTGCTAACTGATCTAGCCTGTTTTCTTCTTCAAGTCTATATTGTAAGTTAGCTGATGATTTCAAGCTTGTTAATCGTTCATACGTCATTGTTTCAATGACACAAGATGCAAGTGATTTTACTCTACTAATAGCAACATAAGAAACTCCAGCAGTTCTTTCAGATTTGCCAATATCTATCCATGCTTTTGGAAGCGTAAGACCTTGGCTCTTGTGTATTATTAGAGCCCAAGCAAGCCTAAGAGATAACTGTTGTCTCTCATGGAAACCTATTTCTGTCTGTGATGTGACAGTGATTTGATATATTGGGATACACAATGGTTGGTTTTCATTAAAAACAGGTCCTCTATAGTTTTAAAATTCTTCTGTTACCGCAATAGTAAGTCAGGTGGTTGATGGTTGTTCTGATAGATAATATCAACAACTTTCCCAGTAGTACCATTGCAGAGACCAACACTTGACCACAAATTCATGGTTAACATGACCCTAGCACCTTTTGCTAGAAACCCAACAGTTTCCAACCCAGACATATCATCTGAGGATATCTTTTTTGTCAATGCTGATGAATGGCGAGCATTAATATGAGCAACTGGATGCTCAAGTTTTGTTAGCTGCTCATGGTTGCATTTAGCAACAACTCTAGTAGAATCTTCAAAGTCACATAAATTAGTGACATTCGATGGTTGACGTGTCAGAAGTAACTTCTAGTCATCAACTGTTGAGTTGCCTTTGCGAAGTCGTAATAACAAATCTCTGAACTGTACTTGCTCAGATGTCATACCTTGCACACGTTGATTTACAGTGAGTTTAACAACTTTGTCAAACATATGATATGCTTCATGACCTTGTTCACCAACAGCGTTTGATGGTCTAGCATGGTAAAGCGGTTTATCTGCTACTGGTGGCAATTGACCTGGATCACCAGTTAAAATCAATGATTTTCCTCCAAAAACTTTGTCATTATAACCAGTTGCTTGTTTGCAACGCTTGTCTATCCAACCAAAAGTAACTTGGCCAAGCATGGAGTATTCATCAATAATGATGTATCCAATGTTATTAACACTCTCTTGTAACCTACACAAGCTTTGTCCTGTTAGGTCTTTTTTACCTCTTGATCCTATAGGTAACTTTAACAGATAATTCAGTCACACCTCTAATGTTATAAGCTGCTTTATCTGTGGTAGCAGAAACAGCACATTTACTTCGCAAAAGATTTCTAATAGCATTAATAAGGTAACTTTTACCAGTTCCTGCAACACCATTTATAATGAGACATAATGGCTCTTTCTCAGATGATGTATCATCAAAATGAGACTTAACAATATCATAAGCAAGTTTTTGCATTTCACTAAAACTGTTGATGTCAACAACATCATATTGCTCATCAATAGTGTATTCCTCTTTGTTTGTTTTTATCCATGTTGGCATTTCTTGGATTTGTAGTTGAGAATAATTGGCTCTGTCAAGATGCCAGTCATATGTGGACTCTGGTGTTTGTTAAGAGTTGTCAAAAGGAGTGTTGAGGTCTGATAATATCACCCACTCTTCTCGAGTTGTCTCCTGTTCTTCAGAAGGTTCATCTTCGGATTCTTGAGTATGAATGACAGCTTGTAATTTATCAAAAAATCTGGAACATTAGACTGCCCATAAGGTCAAAAATCATGCCAACAATTAATAAGAACCTCGTCAGTTGGTTCTTGGTCACTCCATGCATTGTTTTGGGTTGGTCTCCACGGTTTATACCTCAAAAGTTGATATTTACAATATAGGCCAAAATTTGGACCTTTGGGATTAGGAGAATATGTTGAAAATATTCGTGGTATAATATTCTTTGGTAATTTTGTCAGTTCATTGTTAACAACTTTGTATGTTGTAGCAAATTGAACAAAGTTCATATATATTTTGCGAACTCTCATATTGTTCACGATTAGCATACACACATCAAGAAGTGAATAATCGGTGCACGATTCACCCTCGTCAATATTTGCAGTATCACGCACTCTACGCGAACCATTTAGACTAACTGGCATCACTTTATATGATGAGCTGTGGAGTTTTAAAGACAACAAATGATGTCTCTTGAGCTGCATAATCTCTTTCACCAAGAGATTTCATTACTACCTTCTTAATAACTCTACGAGAGTCAGTGCTATTGTCAACATTTTGCACAATAGAATTGAATGCCTGTTTCAATATAGGTGATCTTGGTTCACCTTTAGCTGCATATTTTGTGAGATATTCAACACAAGCATAGTGATCAATAACAACTTGAACATCACAGTTAGCTCTCCATCCTTGGAGCTGAAGTTGTTGATGGTTATTTAATCTAGAGTCATTTCGTTTAGTCACAATCTTAGCTCGATAATGCTCATCATCACCTGAAGTATGAATTTTTTCAAATTCTAATTTTGTCTTAGGACAAATATCAAAAGGGAAATGAAATCTACATTTCAACTCTGTTTCATTTGACTTCTTTCTAAGACAATAACTTGTACTACAACGAGTGTGTCGTTGAACCATGTTTAATAGATCTACATAATCTGATGTTTTTTCATATTCAGGAATGTCATGACTTCTTTGACATGGATGAATCTCAGGTCTTATCCACATGCCCTCTTCTGGTGGATTAGGATTGACGGTTGATAATAACCAATCAACATACTGACATACTGTGTCAGCTGCTTTCTGCCCAGATTCAATATCTTGGTCTAGTTCAGTTGTGTCAGAACAATAATTTTCATCTTTATATTTTTGAACTAAGAAACCTTTCAAAGCAGTCTGAGTAAGTTGACACAAATCTGGGTCATTATTTAGTTTAGCGGTACCATGACAGTGGATACTATTTCTACCTTGGTATTCATATCGAAACCAGCGTATTATAAAGCCAGTGTTTTACAAAGCTTTCTAATCTTTGGGTGAAAAACTAATCTACAACATGGGGATTGTTGATCACATTTTTCGTCTTACATCACTGGTAGAGTTACCTAACTCATTGTCAGTATCAGTTTTAAATACATCATGTTCCTCAGGCCAATGCATATCAGCAGAGGAGAAAGTGAAAAATAATGTTGGTGCTCCAACACTAGTTATGATAGCTTTGAGTTCCTCTCTTACTCTATTCCAGTCAGCGAAATATTGCCAACATATCTCGACACTTTATACATAAATACACTAGCATTGTTACTGGCAGCCATTTCACGCAGTTCATCAATTGTGAGATGAGCTTCTCCTGGGTTTTGTTTAAGGAATATTCCACTTTGTTGTAAAATTCGTTTTCTTTGAATCATCTTAAAAGCCCAATAAGAACATCTGGGGTGGTTAGCGAAACGGAATACCAATTTACCATCAATAATTTCAGCAAATTTTAGAAGATGCTTTATTCGTTCCTGAAGAAGGACATCTCTCAGAAGTCCTTGATTAGTAGGATCACCTTACCCATCTGGAAATAATGTTGGGAAAGCCATTGTAGCCAGATGTGATATCTGATACTCATTTATTGGCTCATTTTCAACCGCGGACCATGGCATTGGCTCTTTTCAGACAGCTGATTTCTAACAGCTTCAATTTCCTGTTGTTGTTGCTCACCAACAGGTAAAAAACTATTCATTTCAGTAGAGTCATTATAAACAATATCCTCTGATGGATTATCAGTAGGAGGACCTACATCAGGAGAACAATTGTCATCTGATATTATATCATCATCAGTCTCAACAGTCATGAGACCTGGTGGTACACCACTTTCAGGTAAGGAACTTAATGCATCTTCATTAATTAATAACTCAGAATAATGTGGATTATTATTGATAAGCCAAACTAAAGCATTGTGCACCTTTTGCTTTCGCACAGTCACATCTCTGAATGTGTTTTCTCTACCTTTAGCCTTGACAATAATCACAGCTAAATCTTTATGATATCTTGGCAAAGACATTGCAAGATCTTTGACATTTTGTGGCAGGTTAATGCAATGCCCCGAAAAACCTCGTTGACCACCAGGTTTAATGTAAACTCTCATGATGGGCAAAGCACGAGCAATCAACATTTCCTCAATCTATGTTAAATTTTGCAGTTCATGTGGAACACATGAAGGTATCATTTTATCTCTAAAGCATCGTGAACACACATAAGGTAGTGTCCTTGGTTTAGATATTAAGGGCCATGCTTCCTGACATTCTGTACACTGACTGATAATGTATTGCACAGACTTACTAAACTTACTAGAAAATACATGCATGCAGTAACCCCTCGCCTTTCTTAACTTAACAGATGAAGTATAAAAACTCCACATAAGGTATTGAGACCATTACAAACAAACATAAAAACACAACTGATTCGCTAGCTTTATATTAAATGAACGACAACATTCACTGCAATTTCATGCATACCAGCTTGCATTAAAGTGAATTATCGAGTTAAGAGCGACTTAAAACTTTCGAAGTATGAATAAAATCGACAACACAAAGCAAGTACGGCATGGAATTTTACTACTGAAATGTTTACACTTACCCAAACCGGCACAACAACTATTAAATTATCGAAGACATCAACATCAAAACATCAAAACAATTATTATACAAACTTTGTTTCACGGTTGAACAGCCACTAATTCATGAAACTGCAGGCTTATTTCCAGTTAAAATCGAGAAAAAAACCGTGTTGTACTTTTGTAAACTTTTTAACGAAATTTAAAACAAAAAATTGCTGTAAAACAGCAAAATACGTTCAACATACGTCCTTTCAAAATGAAAAACAATTACTCAATAGACAGAGCTTGTACTCGCGCATGCGCATAACGTCGAAAACCGTCCATGACATAAACAAAATGGAGGACAACTTTGCACTCCGCTATGTTTTCACATACCCGGGTATAATTAGCCGTGCGGAATTAGTACCCTCGCACGGCGCTTCGCGCCGCCGGCTCGGGGATTGATGTTAGCCTTAGCCCAACATTGTTCTTCAATACCACCATTTTTGCTTCTGTCAAACATATTTAAATAGTCCTGTTGATTTAATATTTCATTTTTTGGTCCGCTTTTGTTTTTTATTACGTCTATCTTTCTCAAGCCTCACTTGTCTGCTGGTGTCAGTTTCCTCTGACCGCTTTCTTTTTTTAGACTCACTATCCATTTGAAGTCTAATTTGTCTGCTGGTGTCAGTTTCCTCTGACCGCTTTCTTTTTTTAGACTCACTATCCCTTTGAAGTCTAATTTGTCTGTTGGTGTCAGTTTTCTCTGATCGCTTTGTTTTGTTAGAGTCACAATCCTTTTGAAGTCTAATTTATTTTTCACTGCCAGTTTCCTCTGAACGTTTCTGTTTAATAGACTCACTTAATTTTCAAGTCTTATTTGCCGTTCACTGTCAGTTTCCTCTGAACGTTTCTGTTTAATAGACTCACTTAATTTTTGAAGTCTTATTTGCCGCTCACTGTCAGTTCCCTCTGACTGCTTTATTTTTTTATACTCACTAGCTTTCTTAAGTTTAGCTTGTTTATCACCTTCATTTTCTATTAAAAGCCTCTTTTTCAGGACATACTCTTGATCCTTTACATATATTTAATTGCACAGGTACAATTTCAAATAAATTGGCATGCAATGTCACTGAAACAGAATACAAATATTGTTCTAATTCTAGAATACTAACAAATTTCATAACAACAGCAGTGCCATTAGGATCAGGCATGCCACTAGAGTCTCTGGCATGGGAGTCAAATAAATAGAAAAAATCTGCTTGCTTCATCAATGCCATCATATAGCCTTCTAATATTAAAAAAGGACAACTATAATTTGAAAACACTTTCAAAAGTGCTGTGTGAATGTCATAGTAGTGTGACTCAATTTCTCGGTTGGTTATAACAAGACCTTGAAGCTCTTTTCCATAATTTATAAACCAAATTTGGTTTTTATTGTTTTCCTCATTAGGCAACACAGAATTGTGCTCTACACCAATAGATAGATCCGTGTTCCCCCTAGCAACAATGGGCAGATCAGTGGTACTTTTTGCCTCAACAGGCTCTATACCACAATGGGTAGCTCAATGTTATTTTGTGCCTGATTGGGCTCTACCACAATGGGTAGACTGTTATTATTTTGCCGCACCACTACGGGTATACTGTTACTGTTTTGTCTTACCACCACGGGTGGACTGTTGTTATTTTGTCTTACCACCACGGGTAGACTGTTACTGTTTTGTCCTACCATCACAGGTGGACTCTCATTATTTTGCCGTACCACCACGGGTAGACTGTTACTGTTTTGTCCTACCATCATAGGTGGACTGTTATGATTTTGTTGTGCCACCATGGGTACACTTTTACTGTTTTGTCCTACAACCATGGGTAGTTCAGCGTTAAATTGTATATCAAAGGGATTCACAGGTGTTGTAGTTGTTTTCGCATGCACTACAGATGATATATTACTTGTGTCGATGACAGAATCGCATATCTCGTAAGAAAACATGTTCGTTCAACTTGAAACACTGACAACTTTAGGTAAGTTATCTACAGATAGGAATTTGACACCAGGTTCTAAGACAACAAAGCCATTATCCAGAGCTTGCAAATACATTTTGTCTCCTTGTAATAAGACATTACTCAATATTGTTTTTGACCAATCGATCAGTGGGATATTTTGGGCAGTTAAAATTGCAGATAAACTCATAAAAGCACATTGTTTGCCTCTAGATTGAACACTAAAAAGGTCATTGCCTTGATGTATTTCAGAAGAAAGAAATAGAGCCATATTTACCTGAATTTTAACGAAAATTTTCGATAACTTGCATCCGTATAAAAAGCCTGTATGAAAACCAATTGTAAAATCTTGATTCTTGAGCACATGGAATTGCGCGCGCAATGCAAAATCTTGTTTCTGACCGCTCCCCTCATTAAACAAACGTTGTTGAAGCTTAATTATTTCCCCCGGATTACGACATCTTTACATACAGACAGACAGACACAAGATCAAGATCTCGACAATACATAGATCGCGCGAAAGACTGGGTCGATTGGACTCTGGAGAAACACCGCGTAGTCAAGAATAGTGTGCTGCCTCTGCGAGGCACCAAAAATTCGCCAGCATGTAGAACAGATGCCGTTCTTTGAAAATACGGAGACACTTCGGCGAGATGTACAAGTTTTGGACCATATTTTAACAATGGAAACCAAAACCCATTTTATATTGTACTTTCAAAAGACCGAAAATTACTACGGCGAATGCCTGGGCAACCAGGCCTCTTAAAACCGTTGGGTTTTGAAACCGTTGGGTTAAATGGGTTTTGAATTCCATTGTTAAAATATGGTCCAAAACTTGTACATCCCGCCGAAGTGTCTCCGTATTTTCGAAAAACGGCATTTGTTTTACATGCTGGCGAATTGTTTTTGAGAATAAAGCTAATTGAGTCCGAGAATTTTCAATTCGAATTGCCGTGCCGTCGGATCGACGATCGGAAATAGTTTGCCTTTATCATGTATCATGTATACTAGTACCATCGAGTACAAAGTCTCGGAAAACATTAGTCCAACAAAAGTGGAATAGAAGAGAATACACAATCAAATAGGCAAGTCAATTTCATTTTAAAATTTATATTTTATGACATATTTTTACAATAATATACATTACCATATACTGACCCTTGCGAGATTGGGCCGCTGTGGTTATACGGGACGCGGAAGCGCAGTGCATGAAAACGTGTCGATTTGTGAGATTTCCGTCGATTTCAGAAATTCCAAAGCCATTGTTCAATTTTCTGGATTTTTAACGTATTTTGCTTTCTTCACGACGGAAACATGGACGAGATGGGTGAATCCCTTCAATATATTTCTTTTGAAGGTAAATTTGTATGATTTTTTCTCATATACTTACATATTCCAATATCAGTTCTTAATTTATGTACTGTATTATTACTAGGGTGATGAATATTGATAACAATGATAAAGTACTATATGATTGTAATTTGCACATTGAAAAATAAAAGATCTTCGCTGAATACTATATTAAAAATAACTTGACGGTAAAATATTTTTTTCATAAATTCGCCTGTGGAGGTTGATCTTGACCGAGATCTTGACATAGTATTGAATAAAGACAATGTTGCTATTGTTAAGACAATGTTGCTATTGTATTGTCTTGTTGACTGTTTTGATTTTATTATTTTAGTATTATGCGAACCAATTTATATTAAAATAATTCTGATCAACGTGTTCATAGGGTTTTAAGGCTGGTTATGATTTCAAAGTCCTTATAGTCTAGAACCTGTATAGATGTTTGTATGCGTTTCATTTAGCATAGGTAATCTCAACTGTTTTAGGGTAAAATGACCATGGCGGTCAACATGGCATATGTGCCAAAACCTGAATCCGGGGCGAAAGTCATGAAAATAACCCCGCCCTGAAACGGCAGTGCCGACCTAACTCTAACTTCCAAAAAGCAAAAGCGACAGCCTTTATGAAGTGCTTATAGTGTTTAGAAGGGTTGCTTTTAGGGGTGGTCATTGGAAGAAAAAATTTGTCTAAGTATAATATTTTACCAGAAAATGACTATGCACCACCCCAGGTAAATTGCTGATTATGCACAAAATAACTAATATGCCTGGCAGAAATTTAATGTTCTTATTTCCTAAAGAAAATTATCATCGGATGAAAAACTATGCTTAATTTAATATAATTATTGTAGTTTTCATAAGGATTGTCATTGTTTTCTTTAAATATAATACATTTTAATTCACTCACCCCCAACGAAAACACCATTTCAGCCATACTTTGCCGACTTGTTTGCTTTTTATCGCCGAGTCTCGCTGATATCATCCAGTTGTTGTACTTTTACATAATGATAGATGGCTAAAGACGATTTCGACGAAGTTTAATGAAGTTTTGAAACAGTGCAGTATATTTTATGTTCGATATTGTGTCCTTCGATATTTCGTCATATTGCCGCCATTTTAATGGCTCGCCGCTTCTCTGCCCGATAAATGCCACTTCTTCGTCTTCCTATGTGTTTAAACTACAGTATCCAAGAGTACTTCGTTGTAGAATAGTACCAATCGAAAAAATGAAAACATTTGTTGGGTTTTAATGGCAAAACCCTCCAGGTAATCATTTAGGTTCAAAATAAACTACAAAGCATTTGAAAGTCACGCGCAGTCTTCGCGAAAACTTCTCGTGGATACATGACAGGGGGGTTGAATATTTTCACGAAACGTTTGTTCGCCACCACAGAAACCTAAAATGTATTGTATTTTTATGAATTATGATAAAAACAATAAATATTTGGGTAGTTTTATCATAATTCATAAAAATACAATAAATACAAAATTTTTTAGGTTTCTGTGGTCAGTGTGGTGGCGAACAAACGTTTCGTGAAAATATTCACCCCCCCTGTCATGTGTCCACGAGAAGTTTTCGCGAACATTGCGCGTGACTTTCAAAAGCTTTGTATTTTATTTTGAACCTAAATAATCACCTGGAGGGTTTTGCCATTTAAAACCCAACAAATGTTTTCATTCTTTTTATTGGAACTATGCAACAACGAAGTACTCTTGGATACTGAAGTCTAAACACATAGGAAGACGAAGAAGTGGCATTTATCGGACAGAGAAGCGGCGAGCCATTAAAATGGCGGCAATATGACGAAATATCGAAAGACACAATATCAAAGATAAAATACATTGCACTGTTTCAAAACTTCATTAAACTTCGTCGAAATCGTCTTTAGCCATCTATCATTATGTAAAAGTACAACAACTGGATGATATCAGCGAGACTCGGCGATAAAAAGCAAACAAGACGACAAAGTATGGCTGAAATGGTGTTTTCGTGGGGGGTGAGTGAATTAAAATGTATTATATTTAAAGAAAACAATGACAATCCTTATGAAAACTACAATAATTATATTAAATTAAGCATAGTTTTCATCCCATGATAATTTTCTTTAGGAAATAAGAACATTAAATTTCTGCCAGGCATATTAGTTATTTTGTGCATAATCAGCAATTTACCTGGGGTGGTGCATAGTCATTTTCTGGTAAAATATTATACTTAGACAAATTTTTCCTTCCACTGACCACCCCTAAAAGCAACCCTTCTAAACACTATAAGCACTTCATAAAGGCTGTCGCTTTTGCTTTTCGGAAGTTAGAGCTATGTCGGCACTGCCGTTTCAGGGCGGGGTTATTTTCAGGACTTTCGCCCCGGATTCAGGTTTTGGCACATATGCCATGTTGACCGCCGTGGTCATTTTACCCTAAAACAGTTGAGATTACCTGTGCAAAATGAAACGCATACAAACATCTATACAGGTCCTAGACTATTACTCGGTACACTTATATTTATTTAGTATTTTAATAAATTTTCTTTGACAAATTTTGAGTGATATTTTTGCCAGGTTCTTTGTTAGTTTTTTATAATTACTGCGTAGTTATATTAAATGTCACTTACACGACAGACAAGTGAAAAAAATGCTTTGCTAGACCAAAGATATCAGATTCAAACCATTCAATATACCCATTGCAATCAAGCAATTCCCATAAACATACAAACCCACCCCCCGTTAAAATACTGGAATTTTGACCGCCCCCTCGTTAAAAAGATGTCCTGAAGCTTTAATCATTTCCAACTTCAATTATTTGACAACGGTAGCCCTTCAGCGGTAAAGCTAAGGAACAAAAACTGGTCCCGTTATGATGTTATATGTAAACAACTCGTTTCTCGTGTTTCATCAGGGAATCCAAACACGAGAAAACTGTATGAAACACGAGCGCGAAGCGCGAGTGTTTTATTGTTTTCGAGTGTTTGGTCCCCTGATGAAACACGAGAAACGAGTTGTTTACACAACATCTCGAACGAAAACATTTCATTGGCTGTTCAATTTATTAAGCGCTAACGGGGGACCTATTATTATATTATATAACGGGGGACCTATTATTATAATATATCGAACAATGCCGTTGGCCTCAGTAATTATCTATTATAATTACTGACCCGAATCAAAAGTAATTATTTTCGGCTGGAAGACTACGTTGCTGCTTGTTGGGACCGTATGACAATGAATCTATCCAACGTTACACTAGACATTTTTGAGGACATGCATGTAATGCATCTAATTGATAGAACAGATTTCAGTTTAATTAATCGCCCTAAGTTAAAATCTCCACAAGCGGAGGTCAATTATAGTGTTCTAGTTTACATATTATCATTAATGATAAGGTTAATTCAAAGAGCGTATTAAACTGGATAAACACGGGAATAGAACTTATAGTGTGTTCTGCACATGCGTATATCTAGGATAAAATCCCACAAGCGCAAACGAAACTATTTCTCTATAAAGTTGAGCTGAAAGGACTCACAGTGACTGTTTTGGCAGTGCTTCAGGCGCCCGATGATATTGTATGAGGGGCCTTTAGCACTGTCACCTCATCTTGAGATGTTCACGTTATCGCGTGTACTTGTCAGGATGACGAAGGATTGCGAATAATGTCTGTGTGCACTGATACACGCTGCTTTATTTTTAATAATGCTGTGTGCACGCTGCATTATTTTTAATAATGCTGTGTGCACGCTGCATTATTTTTAATAATGCTGTGTGCACGCTGCATTATTTTTAATAATGCTGGGTGCTATTTTAGCTTCTCGACATTCGCTGATATAATGCAGAGAGAAAACAATAGGTTATTATGACCGTCAGTAATTATTATAGTATAATTGTTGTGTTTTGACTTGAATTTGTAATTAGGATCTCAGTTATTAGATGAAAACCGTTTTTCATCTAACAACAGTGATGGTATATGATTTTTAGCGTGTTTCCTTGCGGTATCCAACCTCAATCATGTGACGAATTAGGGTGAGTTCATTCGCTAATTTGCTCATGAATTATTAATGAGTTCGAGATATCTATATCCAGTGGAACAATATACGGCTCACGTGCACTACGTTAACTTTACCTGCTGAAGAACATTCAACTCCGGCATCCCCATGATGCTGGCAATTATGATTTCCCCAACCAAGATGGGAACAACTGGTCAAATTTTGTTCACTACCAGAACAGCGAACGTCATCTAACCATATCTGTCCAGAACCACGAGGGACCTGACCTCCTTGAAGAGCCCGAACAGCATATTTAAATCCAAGCTGACGACATATTACTCTCACATGATTCATATTCCAAATATCATCACAGATTGTTCCCCATTGCCCTCTGTAGAATACTTCCACACGACCAGTACCATTTGCACTCGATGGTCCTTGTAACCTCAGCGGAATGGCTGTAAACATTCGAATAAATATCTCAGTAAAATTAAAAATAATATACTTTATTATGTCCTTTATTTTCTATTACAATTAAGACTGTTTTGAAAGAGTAAGACAGAGATGATGTTCTCAAAACCAGAAATCATGTCATCTCGAGTGAAGCGGAACATGCTGGGTAGCTCTCAGTAAATTTCGTCTTTTATGATTACATTTTCAAAATTAGTATTGTTTTTGAACTTAAAAACAAATTAATCAGCTTTATTTTCCATGCGACTGATACAAGACGAGCAACTGATGCAAGACGAAAAGCGCAAGGTTTATTTGAGTACTGTAGCAAGATACCAAATAAAAACGATGTTAAATTTCTTAGTAATGGCAATGATGAGTTGGTGAAATTCAAGAAAAATACACAAAAAGAGCTGCAGGATTTAAAGAGAAAGGCTTGAGAACATAACAACTGGTGTGAACTGAATTGATAAAGTTATAGATGATATGCTGCTTTATATAGTAACTAGAAATACATGCATGGAGTAACCCCTCGCCAATATTTTCCAAACATTAAATTAACATGAAGTATTCAGAAATGGCCGACTGAACGCAGGCCACTGAGCTATACTATTATTTAGTAAAGCTCAGTGACGCAGGCTCGCGCTCAAGTGTTGCCATGACGACACGATATTCTTAAATTTTTAATTTTTCATATTTTTTGTACAAAACTAAAACTGCAAAATAGTTCAAAGATTCGTACTTTTAACTATACAACAATAAATTTCCATATTATATACTGTAGGTATATTATTTTGCATTTTGTAAGCTTTGATTTAATGCAAAATTTAACTTGAAACGCTTCGGAAAATGTTTTGAAATCTTCATTCAACTATAGTTCATTTGCCGATAAACTAATAAATGATAAAACATAATAAGTTACAAAAAAAACAAATTGTTAGGTAATTTCAGTTCAATCTTCAAATCAATTTGTTCTCCTTTACATTTTAAGATTTTTCCTCAAATTAAATGGTAATTAATGAAACTTAGAGCTTCGTTGAAAAGGAAAACAGTTCATGTTTTTAGGCAAAAAGTTAATTAAAGAAACAAAATTCGTAAACATTAAATATTCAAAGGAAACTTGCCGTATATTCTCATCCCTTCAAATAAAATTGCTTCAATTAAGCTTGTTGTATATGAAACGATTTTCCAAATATATGTCTTTTAAAATTGAAATCTTGCTCATCCCACTCCTACACGCAATCAGCCATATTTTAGAGATCAGTGAGGATGACCACCCACCATCGTTGGTCACCGACGCCCGCGATATTTGATGAACCTTAGACTTCGCCATGGATACTAGAAAATACATGCATGCAGAAACCCTCGCCTTGCTGACAAAACCATTGTATTTTCCGAACATGAAGTATCTAAAGTAGTTGCCATGGTAACACGATAATTTTTTAAGAATATTCTTACTAATGAAACATCGCTTAAAAATATCACTTTTAATTACAAAATTATCAATTTCCCAACATATTATGATATATATGTTAGGTATGATATTATACGTAATATATTAAGCTTCAATTTAAGGTAAAATTCAACCACAACTGCTTCGCAAAACGTTTTAAAGTGTTCTTTATAAAACTAAACTGCCTTTATTCCTTAATTAAATGGCTCTATCGATAAACTTTGAGTTTACAATGAAATGATTTCAAATTCTAGCATGCAAATAAGTTTGCTTTCTTTTTTATTTAAAAAAAATTCAATATAATGGGGGCCGATATGCTGTCTTGTTTAATTGTTTCATATACGGTTAGAAGGGAGGTGCCTTGCATGGGACTTCTATATAGCCTCGTTCGCACCTTCCTTTTTGGGCCAGTTGATATTGAACTAATTATTTTAAAGTAATTTATGACACCAATAAAGTTGTTAAATAAATAAATAAATAAATACGCAAAGGCCGTCGGGTTTTAAAGCAATTATAAAATCAATATTTAAAACAAACTTATCTTCGTTAACGTCGGCTCCCTTCTTTTAGCCGATTCTTTCGCCATTTTTTTCTTGAAATTTACAAAATCTTGCAAAAATGCGAGCAAAAATGAAATATATTTGCAAGAAATTTATCAATTATCAAATAAAGAAATGTTTGCTATTTCGCTGTCGTCATGCAGTCGTTATAATTCAAACTTTAAATTGGATCAATCACAGTGTTTGCTATTCATGACAGTCCGCCATATTTTTGAGATCAGTGAGGATGACCACCCACGGTTGGTGACCCCCGCCCGCGATATTTGATGGACTTTAGATTTCGCTAATGCTTTCGTTTCCCCGGGTGTAAATAGCCGGGGGGAATTAGTACCCTGGCACGTCGGCTCAGGGATTATCGATACAATCTCAAGATCGTCGGTGTACCGCAAGTTAAATAAGAAAGGAACCTCTGAATAGACTTCCGATTACTGTGTGTAAGTATGTTTTATGCTATGGGCGTTGACACCTCAATATCTGATACTGATATCGCTCATAGAATTCCTATGCGAAAGGCTGCTGGAAATCGTGTTAATCAAGCAAACGATCCAATTGTTTGCAAATTTGTCAGGCGAATGGCTCGAGAAAAAGTTTTGATCGCAAGAAATACTCAAGCCATGAAAATCTCAGCGACTGACCTAAAATTTCCACCCACGATAAATGTAGATCGTATTAGTATTTTTAGTCACTTAATTAAACCCGAGGTTGCAGGAATTATTTTATGAAGCAAGAAAGCACCGAACCAACAACAGATACAACTTCTGCTGGGTGAAAGGAATGTTAACCTAACCTTAGAAAGTCGGATGACTCCTATAGGTGGTTAATTAAGTTGAATAGCATGCAAGATCTTGTGGACTTGCAAAAACGTACAGTTCGTGTTAGAAACCAGTCAGGCTAATCTGGACAAAATAAACTGGTTTCTTTTACTTTTTCATTACTGAAGATGAGTTTATATTGTTTTGTTTTGTGTATTGATGTTTGTATGTCTGCTTGTGGGTATGTATCATGCACGTATCTATATGTTTTTATTTACTGTATATTTTATACTTTATTTGTATGGCATCTAAACAGTTATGGGTAACAAATCAGAAGAACGTTTTTGCAAATCTTTACTTCGTGAATTACCGTATTTTAAATAAAGAGGAAATTTGTCCGCGTATCTTGGGAGATTTACTGGTATAAATCATCTAAAATGTAAACGAAATCTTAATAAGTTGATCAGTTTATATGATCTAGACTTGTTTAGTCTAAGTACAAATTAATTGGATAACAATCTTAGCTTTAATGATATATTGTCTTCCTCTCAGTATGGTTTTCGTAAA